CTTCCAGTGCCTGAAGGGGCTCCAGGAAAGCTGGGGAGGGGCTTGGCACAAGGGCAGGGAGGGAGAAGACAAGGGGTGATGGTTTTAAACTGAGAGAGAGGAGATTGAGGTGAGAGATGAGGAAGAAATTCTTCACTCTCAGGGTGGTGAGGAACTGGGATGGGTTGCCCAGGGAGGTTGTTGATGCCCCATCCCTGGGGGTTTTGAAGGGCAGGTTGGATGGGGCTGGAGCAGCCTGGGCTGGTGGGAGGTGTCCCTGCCCATGCAGGGGGTTGGATCTAGATGGTCTTCTAAGGTCCCTTCTGACCCAAACCAGTCTATGACTCCATGCCTGGCAGGGGCTTGGCCATGGAGACCTCCTGCTGTCCCATGGGAAGAGCTGCCACCCTGGAACCCTCCCAGTTCCTCGTGCACAAAGCCAGGCTGTGACCTACCTTGCCCAGATGTGTCTGCTGCTTGAGCCTCTCCAGGAACTGGGTGTGATGATGGTAAACCAGCTGCTGCTGGATGGCCTTGGGGTTCTGGGGCAGGGGCTCCGAGCGGGTCCTGCCCAGAGGTTTGTGGTGCCCTGCAGGGAGCAGGGAGGGGGCGAAGGAGAAGGGGACAGTTCCCAGACCTGGCACTGCAGGGGAGAGGGAGAAGAGATGAGGGGTTGTCCACTGGAGCTGGTGCTGCCTCTACCCGTGCAGAAGCATCTCCAGGCAGCCCCAAAGGGGGCAGAGACACAGGAGCTGGTAGGTTGGGATGGGCTGTGCCTTTATGGCTCCACTCTCCTTCTGTCCCCATCACTTTGTCACCACAAAGCCCACAGGGGTCTGGGGACAGGACCAATCATCCCAGTCATCCTGAATGGGAGAAGCTTCCTCCCCTGCAGGTGGATCACAAGGCAGGGGGAGATGGAGGCAGGAGCCAGTTGTCCTGCTGCAATTGGGGTGGGCAACCTGGAGGGGCTGGGGAGATAAAGCCCAGGCAAGAGCTGCCCTGCAGTGAGACCTGCTGGCACAAGAGCAGGAAAGAGCCCTTGGAGGGGGTTTCTGGGCTGCAGGGAAGGAGAACAGCTCCAGCCCAGCTCAGCCGGGGCAAGGAGAAGCAGGGAAGAGGAGCCAAAGCTGCAGCCCAAGCTGGGGCTGTGGTGCCTGCAGAGGTGGGCTCAGCCCTGCCCACCCTGAGCCAGGGGCAGCAGCTTCTCCCTCCTCAGCCCCAGCTCACACAGATGATCAAATCAAGGCCACTGGGCTTTCCTAGCACCCAAAAAACCCCTGCCTGCCCTGAGCATCCCCAAGTCCCACCCTGAGCATCCCCAAGTCCCACCCTGAGCATCCCAAAATCCCACCCTGAGCATCCCAAAATCCCACCCTGAGCATCCCCAAGTCCCCCCCTGAGCATCCCCAAGTCCCCCCCTGAGCATCCCCAAATCCCACCCTGAGCATCCCCAAGTCCCACCCTGAGCATCCCCAACTCCCACCCTGAGCATCCC